CGGCGTCGGCGTCGGCGTCGTCGGTCTCGTCGTCGTCGTCGTCGTCGGCCTGGTTTCGTCGACGTCGTCGTCGTCGGCGTCGGCGTCCGCGTCGTCGTCGGCGTCGGCGTCGGCGGCGTCGTCGTCGTCGTCGTCGTCGGCCAGGTTTCGTCGACGTCGTCGGCGTCGGCGTCGACGTCGGTGTCGGCGTCGTGGTCGTCGTCGACGTCGACGTCGTTGTCGGCGTCGGCGTCGGCGTCGGCGTCGTCGGCATCGTCGTCGTCGTCGGCGGCGTCGGCGTCGGAGCCTGATGACGCCTCCAGGTGAGGAGGACAGACGGAGGGAGGAGGAGGGAAGAGGAGGAGGATGATGAGGAGGAGGAGGCGAAGCAGGAGGAGGCGGAGGGGGAGGGAGGAGGCGAAGCAGGAGGAGGAGGAGGCAGAGGAGCAGGAGGCGGGGCAGCGCGTACCACCGAGCTCCCCCGTCGTCGTGGTCGTCGTCGACGTCGGCGTCGGCGTCGTGATCGGCGTCGGCGTCGTCGTCGTCGTCGTCGGCCGGGTTTCGTCGGCGGCGTCGTCGTCGTCGTCGTCGGCGGCGTCGTCGGCGTCGGCGTCGGCGCCGCAGCGGGGCCCTCGCCGCAGCAGCGGGGCCCTCAGGTCTGGCTGCGGCCCGAGGACCTGCTCGAGGCGGCGGGCCTCCTCGCCCGGTCCTGAGCGCGCGCGCGCTCCTCCTCGTTCTCCTCCTCCCTCCTCTCCTCCTCCTCCTCTCCTCGTTCTCCTCCTCCTCGGCGTTCGCCTCCTCCTCCTCCTCCTCCTCCTCCTCCTCGTTTTCCTCCTCCTCCTCCTACTCTCTCGTTCTCCTCCTCCTCCTCCTCCTCCCTCCCCTCCTCCTCCTCCTCCTCGTCCCTCCTCCTCCTCCTCCTCCTCCTCCTCCGGGGCCTCGGGGCCATCTTGGGGCAACGCGGGGCCTCGGGGCCATCTTGGGGCAATGTGCTGGGAAGGCAGGGAGAGGCAGAGGGGTTGTGCAGACATTGGTCCGCGTCGTGGAGCCGACTCCCCTCCCCATCCCCAGGCCCACACTATCTCAGCCCCCCCCCCCCCGTGGGGACGTGCCCTGCGAAGCCTGGAGGAAGCGGCCCATCTCTCCATCTGGCGGGGTACACTGGCCAGCGGGGCCCATGCCACGCCCATGAGGATAGGGGTCTGTTCAACGGTGCTCAACGGTGTGTGCGAGAATGCATGGGCTGCAGAGATGGCTTCTTGGAATGTGCTAAGGCCCCGAATCAAACCAGACAACACATCATAAGCATGAGCTTTCGGAGCTCCGCGCGGGTTCCTTGAATCGGCGCTGGGCACCCCTTGGCGGCGCCTCTGGCGCCGCTCCTGGCGCGCTCCGCGCGCCAGGGGAGGAGGTCCAGCGCCGATCCAAGAACTCCGTGCGGACCAAGAGTTGCTTCCAGAGCCTCTTCTCGGGACGCAACTCCTGGGAGGTTGAATTCTGAATCGGCGCCGGTATATGCTTGGTCGAGAGCTGGCCTCATCTGGCTCAATCCCGTCTCATCAAGCTCGATCCTGTTGAATCCTGGGCCTAATTTCAAGTCGGGCGCGTCCCTCTACAGGAGGAATATTCCAAAATAATCAAACATAGTCTGGGGACGATTTTTCTAGTATTTTCGATTATTTTGGAGCATGTTTAAACTGTTTTTGATTTTTTCTCCCAAACCTGCCTTTAGGGGAAAATGCCCGACCTAAGCTTAATTCGGCTTAGTATCGCTCAATTGCCCCTTAGTCGGGCTCAATATCCCGTTATCGTTCTGACGAGGACCTCACAGGAGTTGCCTCCTAAACTTCCAGATCCCCATCTTGGGCCCCCTCTCGGCAACGTGGAGGCCTCTCGGAGCCCTCCCTGGAGCCTCGGGGGCCCCCTTGGGGCTCTCTTGGGGGGGGAAGCTTGTGTTGACTCGGATGCTCCTGAGGCCGAAAAGGCGCGTATGCGAAATCGACAATGCAGAACATAACGGGTTTTCAATGATGCTGGCCTCCTGGTGTCCGTTTCCCCCGTGCGGACCATTTTTGCCAGAGGGCGGTGCAGTGCCGGCTCGGGAGTCAGCCGTCCGCGCGTGGTACGTTTGGTCCCCGCGATGTGGCGCATCCTCTTGTTTGCGCGCTGTCTGGCGCAAGGCCCCTGGCTTGACCTCACCTCGGGACTCCTGGGCCAGCACCCAAAGGCCTCCAAGATGGCACAGGAGGTCCCCAAGACAGCCCCAGGACGGCACTCGGGGCCATCTTCGGACACGCTCCGCAGGCCTCTGGACAGGTCCTCCCTGGGTGCTGTCATTCTGCACGACGCTCGCGAGGTTCGTGCGCACCTGGAAGATCCAGCGGAGAGGCGTCATACATGGACCCAATCGAGACTTGGCCTTCCCTGCTGTCAACTGCTGCCGTTTTTCGTGCTGAGCTCTTAGGAGGTCCAGCGGAGTGGCGTGCTAGGGGGATTCAGACGAGACATCGCCTCCATGGGTGCTGTCAGTTGCATAATGACCTCCACTTAATAAGATTTCATGAGGCCGTGTCTAGGAAAAGCTGGAGAAGCTGGGAAACACAGCGTTATTCAATGGGGTACTCCTCTGGAACAAGCTGGAAAAGCTTGAAAAGCTGGGACACACAGCGTTCTTCAATGGGGTACTCTCTGGAACAAGCCAGAAAAGCTGGGAATCACAACGTTTTCCAATGACAGGGAGAGTGACAGAGAGAGAGAGAGAGACAAACAAAGAGAAGGAGAGAAAGAGAGAGAGAGAGAAAGGGAGAGCGAGAGAGAGGGAGAGATGGAGGAAGCATTCGAAGAAGAAGAAGAAGGAAAAGACGAAGCAAATGAGGAAGAGGAGGAATGAGTGGCAGAAGGAGCGAAATGTATGATAACTGGGGGGCGTCCATACATGTATATATATATATGTACAATATATATTCTATATATATATATATATATATATATATATAGATCCCTGCGCACGAGGAGGGGGGGGGCCAGGAGGGCCCCCCCGACGCGCCGTGGGAGGAGCGGGCCGCCAGGGACGCTCCCAGACGGCCCAAGAAAGCTCCAACACTGCTGAAAAGGGCCGCGAGAGCCTCCAAGAGGCCCACAGTCGCGGAAAAATCGCTCTAGCACGCCCAAGATGGCCTTCGGATGGCCCAGAAGGCTTCAACATGGCTCAAGGGGTCCCCAAGAGTAACCCAAAAGGGCCCCAATAAGCCAAACTTATTGATTGTCCCATGGTTTGGGGTGCATTTTAGCGTTTCTGCTTGTTCGGCTTCCCGACGCTCCAAGACGGTCCCGGACACTTAATGACCCTGGCGACGTACCCAACCCTTGCGCAGTGCAGGATCGGAGTAGCTTGGGAGATTTGATGAGAGGGCGACGACGTGGCATGGACGCATATACTTCTGCGAGCGGCATTCGGGAGGTTCGCAGGTGCATGAACAAGGGAAAAAGCGTGGTAGCGATGAGTGACTAAGTGAACCCTTGAGTCACTAAGGCAGGGTCCAAACGGAGAAGGCGGGCAACGGGCTTGAAACGTCGGCTGGGCAGCAACGACATGAACCAGAATTCCCACGCGACGACGCATTTTCTTAACCCGCGGAGGGGAGCCGCTAGGCTGGCCCTCCGCAACTTCCTTTCGAAGCCCTCGAAAGTGGCGACAGTGTCGCAGATCGCAGCCCCCCAGAGACGGCGAGGTCCCGCTCGGGTTTGCGCGGTGCCTCACTCCGCTGGACCCACCAGCAGCCCTCGAAAGTGGCGACAGCCCCCCATGGACGGCGAGGTCCCGCTCAGGGCTGCGCGGTGCCTCTCACTCCGCTGGACCCACTAGCAGCCCTCGAAAGTGGCGACAGTGTCGCAGATCGCAGCCCCCCAGGGACCGCGAGGTCCCGCTCAGGTCTGCGCGGTGCCTCACTCCGCTGGACCCACCAGCAGCCCTCGAAATTGGCGACAATGTGGCAGATCGCAGCCCCCCAGGGTCGCAGATCGCAGCCCCCCTGGGACGGCGAGGTCCTGCTCAGGTTTGCGCGGTGCCTCACCCCGCTGGACCCACCAGCAGCCCTCGAAAGTGGCGACAGTGTCGCAGATCGCAGCCCCCCAGGGACGGCGAGGTCCCGCTCGGGTTTGCGCGGTGCCTCACTCCGCTGGACCCACCAGCAGCCCTCGAAAGTGGCGACAGTGTCGCAGATCGCAGCCCCCCAGGGACGGCGAGGTCCCGCTCGGGTTTGCGCGGTGCCTCACTCCGCTGGACCCACCAGCAGCCCTCGAAAGTGGCGACAATGTGGCAGATCGCAGCCCCCCAGGAACCGCGAGGTCCCGCTCAGGTCTGCGCGGTGCCTCTCACTCCGCTGGACCCACCAGCAGCCCTCGAAAGTGGCGACAGTGTCGCAGATCGCAGCCCCCCAGGGACGGCGAGGTCCCGCTCAGGTCTGCGCGGTGCCTCTCACTCCGCTGGACCCACCAGCAGCCTTCGAAAGTGGCGACAGTGTCGCAGATCGCAGCCCCCCCAGGAACGGCGAGGTCCGCTCAGGTCTGCGCGGTGCCCCACTCCGCTGGACCAACCAGCAGCCCTCGAAAGTGGCGACAGTTTCGAACATCGTGGCCCCCCAGGCACACACAAGAGGTACCGCAGGCAAGATGCACACACAAGAGGTACGCGCAACGCAAGAGGAGACAAGAGGGAGGCGGGAGGAAGGAATGAACGAAGGACGCGCGAGCAGTGCTCTCTTCAAAGCGAGTACCCAACCAGGGAGGATTGAAACAATTCGTCCAAACAGGCTTCCGCCAGGGCGCCGAGACGGCCCAGGGCCGCTTCCGGATGGCCCGAGAAAGCTTCGACTTGCTGCAAAGGGCCGCACGAGGCCTCCAATTCTTAAGAGGCCCTGGAACGCGGACATCTCGCTCCAGCACGCCCAAGATGGCCTCCGGATGGCCCACAGGGCTTCCAACACGGCCCACGGGGGCCACAAGAGGCCCACAGTCGCGGA